GTAATTTCTCAGGATTGCAAATACGGTGTTCTGTTCAGGTGGGGGACCAGGCATACAACATTTAAAAACGGTTGAATGCAGTGTAAGTTCCTAGCCTAGCCATTCCCTTAGCCCCCTTACAACCCCACACCCACCCTCTCCACATCAAAATGAAACCCCGCGTGATCGCTGCAGCGTGCGATTTTTCAGCAGAAGTGAGCTGCAGCAGACGTGGCTGCACGCATCTGCAGTTGCACGCACTTGCCGCTGCCTGCATTCGCAGCCGCTATGCCGCGCTGCTGCCTTGCACGTTATTGCTACAACTGTCGTTGCCACAATAGCCACTACCATCGCTGTTGCCGTTGCTGCTGTTGCTGCTGCCTCTACCTCTGTTGCTACACGCTACTGCTGCCGCCGCAGTTGCCGTGACAGCTACCACTGCCGCCACTACTACCTTGGCCACACTGCTGTCGCCTGTGCCACCACCACTGCTGCCTAGGACCATTCCTAATATTCAGTCTAGCTTTTGTAACCGTTGCGCTTTCATCTGCCCTCTCTATGGCTTATTGTCGCGATTCCGACTCCGTGCTGCACTTTGATGCGGAGGGCAGGGCGAAGGATTCTAACGTTGTGGCCGAGTAATGTTGAGCTTTATATGCCGAGCCAGCACCGGGATGGCGTCTACCTGTACATCCACATGTCCGATGAGGTGCCAGCCGCCAAGCACCCTCTTGCTCTTACTGGTGCCGCCACAGACGCACGCAAGATAGCCCACGCCAAGTTTCAAAATAAATATGGGGCCTGTTTGTCACGCGAAGTGGGCCATCTTGTCCGTAGTCGCTTCCTCCTCCCTACCGAGGGCGTGCATTTTCGCCATATCAGGATGACAAAGGAACTAACACTACTCGTTACTCCAATCCTTCAACTACCATAGGTCATCTAGATATTCCATTTGTCTTTCCTGACCTACCTACATTCCTCACTGTTGCTCATCAATTTACTCACCTTCGTTCACTTGACAGTGTACACTTGCTACACACCAGTGCTTTCATGCAGTAAAATCTTCTCCCGCATATCATGGCCATCCTCACCGAACAACACCGTCCTGTGATTTTTTTTTTCACTCAGACCAGGATGGTAGGCTCATCTCCAGTTGGGTCAAGCATTTATGTCGCATGCAGGGTCTTGTCGTTCACACAGCCAGACTTGTAGAACAAAATGGGATTGCTAAGTGTCGCGTTGGCCTGATCATGAAGATTGTTGATACCGCCTTGATTCATGCTAACGCACCCCATTTTCAATTGCCCGTTGCAGTCCGTTACATTGCACACCAGCTTAACATTTGGCCCCATTCCTCACAACCATAGGTTTTACTGACGATCCTCTGAACTGGATCTCCTAAACCTACGTTTGCGTTTTGGGTCTAGGGTTGCCTTGCTCTAAAAAAACTCGCATTGTGTCGTGTTATCCTGTGTGTGCGTAATTGTTCGCAAAATTTTCTCATTGATTTGGGAAGACAATATTCCTGTTGGCCCTGGAGCCTAAGTGCGTTCTAGTAACGCCTTGGATATCTACCGGGTATCGTGCATATAAATGGCCACGTAGTCGTACCCATATTCATTATTGAATATCAAAGTGGAGTTTAGATCCTCTCACATTCTTGTTTACAGACTTAGGTGAGCCGCCTTGCTATGCCTCAGTCTTTTTGCCGACAACAGTGCTATGATCCTCCTTGTCAGGAGCAGAGATAGGAGAGCAAGGTGAAAAACTTCCAACTAAGTGTTTCTTCCTATGTGAGGTGCAGCAACTCAATCAAGCACGTGTGGTGCCTGTGGCCTTGGAGGCCAACCAGGCCCTCATATTGGTTTGAGGGTATGCTGATGGATCAGCGTGCCCCTGCCAACCAAGTGTCCAAATCAGCGTTCGTGGTTTTGTTTATACTGATTTTGTCAGTGTAAAAATTTATATTAAATTGAAACAGCAGTGTAAAAAAAACATCAGTGCACAACGGTGAGATGGCTTCCAGCGAGGCAAAATGGTTTGGCGCGCACAAGTTGTAAGTACAGCGCTTGTGAAAAAATTCGAAGTGTGTGGGTGGGCTGGGGTTTCGTGAATCACGGGAAGGTACACTCTGTACACGCGCGTCGCGTACCCTATCCTCAACCCCCTCCCCCCCCTCCACGCGCGGCCAAGTCCGTTTCAGTGTGACTCTCTGAAGTATACTGATTCGTCAGTGTTACTAGTACAGAAACACGCAAAACGGTCAGTGTGGCTTAATAGGTTATACTGAATTTTCAGTGCAAAATTGAAGCATATGCTGAATTTTCAGGGAAAACAAAAATTAGAGCTACAAAATCAGCGTAATCAGCGTGTTTTACGCTGATATCTGAGGGCCTGAGGCCAACACTGCTGATATCTTCACCAAGGTGCTCCAACCTTGTAACTATCAGCGGCCCTGCACACAAGTCGGCCTAGTTACAAAAGGTCGCCACTTTCTCTGTCTGTGGCTATGGTTGTATATTTCTTGTGAGCTCATTGACTAGCCTTGTGGTCTATTTACCTCAGAGTTTGGAGTAATTGAGCCATCCTGACTTTGCGTGTTGGTGTTGTTTAGGGACCGCCCCGTACCTAGCTTAGGGGGCTTGTCATTAAATTTAATGTATTTATGTATGTAAACAAATTTTTGTCTGTCTCAACAGGTTAGGTAGGGTTAGTCTCTAGTGAGTATAACACTTCGCATTTGGGATTTTTTTACACTTTTCTACTGGTAAAAAAAACCATCTCGACATTTGTAACAGAAGCTGGAAGCGCTAAAGGGGTTTACTGTCGCGGAAGAAGCGCTGGGACGCACCGGAGTTGAGAGTGAAGGCGATGGACACTTCGGCAGTGACGCACATGTGCAGCAGAGGATCCTACAGTAGAAACAACAGAAGTACCTAGTCTAGACACACACTAATAATAGAATTCGGGAACATTACTGTCATCAGCCTATATGGCATACGAAGCAGACCTTAGGTGAGACATGCCTATCAAATACATGCAAATGTTAGAATCTCATCCACTAACCACTGGGATAAAATGCTTGTTTGTGTAACGAGTGAGTGCGCCCACAACCCCTCAGGCCGACGTGCCTGCAACCCTTCCCTAGGATCAATCGGAGATCTCCAGTGGACCTGTAAGAGCAAACAGTTTCGTAACAGCAACCCGGGAGGGATGCTACAGACCAAGGTGGGCACGAAAGGGGTTATCAACCCAGCAAATGTTATTGCAAAATAAAGTCACCGGAGCGTTCGCAAGTGGTAATGCACAGTGACCAACTTAAATCAGTTAATAAGAGGGCCTTAGCAAGAGGCCTCCCGACGCCCAGACCCACACTTTTCCCCACTCCTGTTGAGAAACCAACTTTCAGAACTAGTGCTTCTGCGAATGCTGCTCGGAAGTCACCGTCGCACCTGTGTTAGCATTAGCACCACCGAGCCCGCCAAAAATTAAGCATGAACCCTGAGACTTAGGGCGCGTCAGATCCGTTACAAAGTGATTTGGCTGGAATTTGGTCGACAATTTGGTCGACTAAATCTTTCGCCAAAGTCGACAACAGGGTCGACATAAAAAACGACCAATATCCAGCCACATTTTGTGGGCCGAAAAATCTGACACATTTGGTGGCCGATTTGCAGGCCGCTTTGCAAATGTGTCAGATTAGCAGGTCGCGAGGGTGGCCGGATTGTGCGACGTAGTCGCAGATCCAATATTTCTGTGACACGTTGCGTCGCACGAGTTGGCGACGTCGCGTAGTTACTGTAGCGATTTCAGGTTGACAAATTGGTCGACTGGCGAGACGACTGCACGTCGGAATTTTGTCGAATGCTGAACCGGCCATCAATTTTTTAACAAATGGCCGGATTTGGCGAAGTGCACGAATATTTGTGCGATTGTCGCAAATGCGTTATTTTCGCTAATTCCGGCCGGCCGGATTTTTCCGACAACGGATCTGACGCACCCTTATGTGCACTTCCACCACCACTTGCAGCTACACCTCAACGACCAGACCACCCCAGTGCCATCCTCGCGCGCTAGAGGATGAAGAGGCACTTGTGGCCTCCGCTATAGCACTACGCAACAGAGGCAACAGCAACAGCAGCAGAGGCAAGCCATGCTTGATTTTTCCAAGCTGCAATTTTGGCAAGCCATGTTTTTCCAAAGCGGTTGGAGCTTGTTCCGTTAAAGCTGGAAGAAGAAGAAAATACTACAGAGTTGAGCCATGGTATGCGGGAAAACTGACAAATGGAGATTTCTCACAGGATGAAGAACGTCCAAAGGCAATGTGAGGTTTCTTTGGAGCCGATAGCAGAGCTTGCATGTCAAAGAGTTCGGCGCGATGTGGTACATTCTTGTGAAGGAAAAGTAATGTCCTTAGGTACTTGAGGAGAGTGAATTATTAATGAGGAACTCCATGGTGTGCCCGAGAACTAAAGTTCCTTCAACCGGGCTTATTGGTTGGTAGAGCGCGCCGTTTTGCTGACTGACACCACGACTTATGACGTGGCGACCGCGTCATTTCGGTCTTACCCTAGGCCAAAAATCGAGTTCAAGCTGCTGACGTCCGAAACTGGTCATTTCGCGACTTTCGATGGCAGTGCCACGTGGTAATCGACGCAAGCTGATGGCTACGAAATTTGCAGCCGCCGCGCAGCAGCGTTTATCCACAAACGCCACTCTAGGTGCTAGGTTTCTTCACGGTTGGCGATCAATCATTGCTGGTGGTTGTGGTGGAAAAGTATCTGCGGCTTTGGCGCGCGATCGCCGAATGCATCTGATCGAGTCGGCGGAAATGGATTTGAGCTCGTCGCTCTAACCAAATTCAAATTCCTCCACTTCGCTGGTTGGATCGTCCTTCGACTGAATCCACCAAGCTCAAAGCCTATTTATTGCCACCTTTGTTCACCTTCTCTCCATAGATCATTTCGCCGTGGTTTTATCATATCCCAGTTTGCTTTTACCGTCGTCAGTTTTCAGTAACCATGGACGTAGCATCAATAATGGCCTCTCACGTGGTCTCGGCAACTCCATCTCCTGCCAATGTGGTCCTCCAAGCATCTTCTCACGAAGCTGCTGCACCACCGGTTGCCACGTTCCTCTCTGCACCCGCATCCGAGGCCATGACGAACGCTGAAGCCTTGACTATGCAAGCGATGGATCGGTCTGTGAGCATCAACGCTCTTCCACCGATGTCGCTCGACAGGACACAAGTCGGATCGCAATTGCTCACGTCGTCCGCGTCGTCGTCATCCCTCCTCCCACCAAGCAGCCCCTCCGTCCCTCTTCTCCGACGAGTCTCCATGGAGAACCTGTTCCAGCAAGACGCGGTCGTCACTGCGCCGCCGCTCACTCCTCGTCCGCCATTGGAGCCGCTTGACATTCCCGCCAAAGATGCGCAACGTCTCGCTCGCGGGCTCCGCGCGGAAGTGGTGCTGGAGGCGGAGGAGATCCTTCGAGGAAATGACCGTGGAGGCTACACGATCCCGGCCAAGGGGCTGTACCCGTACCAGTGGAACTGGGACTCGGGACTCGTGGCCATCGGCTGGTCGGCCGTGGACCACGAGCGCGCGTGGGAGGAGATGCGGCGGCTGTTTTCCGCGCAATGGGCGGACGGCATGGTGCCGCACATCGTGTTCCACCAGCCCAGCCCCACGTACTTCCCCGGCCCCGAAATCTGGGGCACGGCGGAGAGCCCTCGGAACAGCACCGGCATCACTCAGCCACCGATTGCGGCAACGGCTGTTCGGCAACTGCTTGAGCGAAGCATGGGCGGGGACGTTGCTGACGGTGTGGCTTGGAACGGCGGCAGCTTGGCGGACGATCGGAGCAGCTACAGCTTGCAGCAGGCGGAGGAGCTGTTTCCGAAGCTGATGGCGTACCACCGGTGGTTCCACATGGCGCGGGACCCGCAAGACACGGGGTTGGTGGCGACGCTGCACCCGTGGGAGTCGGGCATGGACAACAGCGTCGCGTGGGACGTGCCTTTGCGGAACGTGCCCGTGGACGACATCCCCGCGTACACGCGCAGGGACTTGGGCCACGTCGACGCGTCCATGCGTCCCACACAGGCGGAGTACGACCGCTACCTCACGCTGCTGTACCGTTTCCGCGCCGTGGAATACGATCCCCACCAGCTCTACTACCTGTCGCCTTTCCGGGTGACCGATGTGTGCACTAACTCTCTCCTTCACCGTGCCAACCTCGACCTTCGCTGGCTCGCCGTCACCCTCGGGCGCTCAGACGACGCCATGGAGATCGACCAGTGGCTGCAACGCTCCGCCGCTGCCTTCCCCTCGCTTTGGGACGAGTCGAGTGGCATCTTCCGCTGCCGCGACCAGCTCACAGGGGAGTTCCTCGATGCCGCCACGTCAGCAGGCTTTTTGCCGCTGTTTGCTCGTGCGGCAACACCCGAACAGGCGGAGGCACTGGCAGGGACTCTGTCGACGTGGCTGGACCAAGTGGAGTACGGCGTGCCGAGCCTGGATCCCGCCGACGCGCGTTTCGACCAGCTGAGGTACTGGAGGGGGCCAGTGTGGGCGATCGTGAACTACATGGTGACGGACGGGCTGAGGTTCTACGGCTACGAGGACCTGGCGATGCGAGTTGAGGCGAGCACCCGGCGGTTGATGAACGAGCACGGGCTGTATGAGTACTACGATCCCATCACAGGGCAGGGCGCTGGAGGCAGCCACTTTTCCTGGACTGCTGCCATGGCGTTGGCTTGGCTCAACCAGACGGACGGGTCAGCCATGGCGGGGTGAAATGAGTTGGGGTGCAGGACAAGCCGAGCAACATGCCATCTGAAGGAGTTTTTGAGTGTACAAACTCGTTGCATTATTTATTTGTTTAAACATAGGTGCATAGTTTGAAAGAATTTATGTGTTCATTTGTTGTCAATTGGGCTTGTGATTCTTACCAAGTTTGTGTTTGCATTTCAACTACAAAACATTATGACGTTTTCCAAGCAATGACAGAACTTGTTGACGGACGTCCTTCAGTATAGGCATTATTGAAATGCACGTTATCTTGCAAGTAAGAATCAGCGCTTTCCTTTCAACCATTAAAGCCCGAGTCCCAAATTGCGGAGCGCGTGGGTCAAGCTTTTTGTCAGAATATTATGCTCTAGCCTGCAGTGGGGTGCTCTATAGCGAGTACAGCCCTTCTAGGGTTAGCTATTTGTACCACCGTTGTTGCTAGTGCAAAACCCCTCTTCCGTTCAATTCTCTCTTGCCTAGCTAGGGTTCTCCTAGCTATGGCCTCTCACTATACCTACTATTCCGACATGCTATCAGAGCGGTTACGCTCTTGGCCTGTGGGCCCCACTACTGCTTCCGCTGCCCTACTCTGTGCTGCGCGCCCCGTGGCGCGCGGCCTTCAATTTTTCATCCCGCCGCGCGCTCGGGGCGCGCGGCGGTTCCCTGCCCGCCGTGCGCGCCGAGGCGCGCGGCGGTTTCCAGCCGTGGGGGAGCCCGCGCGCACCCCGCCCGTCCGTCGCGGCGCCCTGGGGAGCACTCGCGGCCCCCACCCTGCACGTCGCGTCGCCCCCGTCGACCCTCGCGTCGCCTCCGGGGACCCGCGCGCACCCCCCCACCGTCGAATCGCCCCCCCGTCGCCCGTCGTGGCCTGCGCGCGGCCCGTACGGGCTGCGCCAGGCCCGCGCGCGGCCCGTACGGGAAGCGCCAGGCCCGCGCGCGGCTCGGGCCGCCTGCGCGCGGTTCGGGCGGCTGTGCCAGGCCCGTGGGCGGCCCGTTCCTCGCTGCACCTGCCCTCCCCACTGTCCCCCGTGCTTCTACTGGCGCCCTACCCCTCCTACAGCCCGTTCTCCTGAATTAGGGTTTGGGGGTGAGGGGTATGGGGGTGAAGCCACTGAGTGCCGTTCCCTGCTCCTCCTCCTCCTCCCTAGTCTCCCTCTGCTACAGCTGCCACTGAGGGGGGTGGTGTGTGGGAGCCTAGGGTTTGGGGTTTAAGGGGGGTACCGTGGGAGTGGAGCTAGGGTTCAGCAGGGGGTGTGTGTCGAGGGGTGTGTGGGGCAGTTGGAGGAGGTTGAGCGGAGGTTGCCGTCGTGTCGTCCGCAGCACCTGTATTCCGGGGCCTTTCTTCTCCCGGTAGCTCAGAGAGCCGGTTGCACCTGTCGCCCGTGGGTCCGTTGCTACTGTCGCTGGCTGATCAGTTGCAGAGCCTGTTACTCCTGTATTCCGGGGCCTTTCTCCTCCCGGTAGCCACCAGCGTTGCACCAGAGCCGTCTGTTGCCCGAGTGTCTGCAGCTTCAGTCGTCGCCTCCACTCTTCTCTCATCTCACCAGCCCTCCTCCTCCTCGCTTGCCCTCTGTGACAGCTTTAGCTTTACCCATAATTGTGAACTTTAAACTTTTGCTTCTTGTTCATGTGCTCAGAATGTGTGGTGACATCGTGATCCACCCTGAGCTTCTACTGCTTTGCTTGCTGTGCTGATTACACCCCACTTTGGCTATGGGGGTGTGTCAGAATATTATGCTCTAGCCTGCAGTGGGGTGCTCTATAGCGAGTACAGCCCTTCTAGGGTTAGCTATTTGTACCACCGTTGTTGCTAGTGCAAAACCCCTCTTCCGTTCAATTCTCTCTTGCCTAGCTAGGGTTCTCCTAGCTATGGCCTCTCACTATACCTACTATTCCGACACTTTTAATTGTAGTTGGAGATTGAAAAAGTACGTACTAGCTTCCCTCTTATTGAATTTTCCTCATATAAAATCACAAATCTTATTTCAATTCAATCAGCGTGACTTCCAAGGATTCATTTCAAGTGACAGCAATAATTTCCTGAAAAAAACGAATCCTTCTGCTATGTGTCTATCGCTGAAACAAAAAGGGAATACATTTTTGGGAAGGATCAAATTTAAGCACACAGATCCGTTTGGTGTTTACAGTTATGCATCCCTGAGTCGTATCTGTCAGAAATAAATGAACACACACACACACACACACACACACACACACACACACACACACATACACACACACACACACGCACGCACGCACGCACGCACACACACGCACACACACACACACACACACACACGCACACACGCACACACGCACACACGCACGTACGCACCCACGTACACACACACACACACACACACACACGCACGCACGCACGCACGCACGCACGCATGCACACACACACACACACACACACACACGCATACACCCACACACACACACACACGCACACACACACGCACACACGCACACACGCACACACGCACACACGCACACACGCACACACGCACACACGCACACACGCACGCATGCACACACAACTACTCCCTATATAGCCACGCCAGCCATGCGTCAGCCAGCTGAGCCGACCGTGCTAGCTCCGCCAATAGTTGACCACCCGCACCAGCCGCTAGCCAACCCGTGTTAGCAACGCAAGCCGCTCGAAGCCCGCGCCAGCAAGCGCCAACCAGCTCGCCGCCTCCGCCAGCCGCTTACCGTACCCACTCCTGCAAACCTCGAGCCATACTCCCTACTCTGTGCCATCTCCTCCCTTGTGGCTGTCTCCTTTCTTCGACTACAACCATGCGCATGCTCCTAACATGTCAACTGAGTTTGCCTTCCGACTTAATGTGGAGGGTGTTTATATAACCAGGGATCGTAGTGGATAGGATAAGATTTGTTAAGTTGTAGGAAGACAATGAAATCTTGTAATGACATTGTTGATAATAATTGAAGGATAACAAGCTAATTAGATAGAGATACAAATGGAATAAGTTAGAGAACTAGCTAGCCAAAACCCTTACTAACAATATCGCATTGCTACAATAACCGCGACCATTGCTATGCTCGGCAGTTACCATGTTGCATCATGTAACCTCTGATGGGGTTACTGGACGATTAAGAGTCGCGACCATTAACTATCAGCCGGGTGACTCTCGAGCTATCGGGTGCTCTATACGAGCTCAACGCGTTGGTAGTACAGGTGATATGTGCTGAATACAACCAAAGGATCAGTGGACAGGATAGGATGTGTTAAGCCTGAAAGGAGACAGTGAAGTCTCTGTAGTGACCTTGTTGAATAACAGTTGTAAGAGAAAAAGATGATTAGAGAGTAGGAGTACAAGAAATTAAATAGCAAACTATCTAGCCATGTACTCTGAGGGGTACATTCCCTTATTAACTGTATTACATAGCTACAGTAACCACGACTATTGCTATTCTTGACAGTTACCGTGTTGCAGTCTGTTAACTGTCGCGCGGTTACTGGATCGTCAAGGGTCACGACCGTTGACTATCTTAGACGGTTGACCTTCGGGTGACCCTCGAGATTCCGCGTGCTCTATATGAGCTAATGCGGTACTAGTACAGTGGAGCAACTTCGGGAATGCCTTTATAACCTTTCGGTTATTCCAACACTCCCCTTCATTCCAGAAGGTGGGCCACGTGGGATTTCTTGGTGATCCCACAGAGGTTGGCGCAGTGCTGGTACTGCTGACGTGGCTGCTTCTTCGTCAGGAAGTCGGCTGCCATGTCACCGGTCGGGCAGTACGTCAGCTTGACTCTCCCTTTGTCGATTTCGTCCTTCACGAAGAAGTAGCGAAGGCCGATGTGCTTGGTGCGGTTGACGAAGCCGGGCTTGTTTGCGATCTTTATCGCGCTCTGATTGTCGCAGAGTAACGTGAAATGCCCGTTCATCGTCACTTTCGCCTCCTGCAGGAGCTCCATCAGGTACAGACCTTCGCGAACAGCTGCGCTAGCTGCGATGAATTCTGCTTCAGCTGACGAAAGAGCGATGAGTTCCTGCTTCTGGGAGTTCCAAGAGATGAGTCCAGCAGGTTGGAGTTGGAAAATGAATCCTGTGCGGGAGCGTCTGTTATCAACATCTCCAGCATGATCGGCATCCACGTAGCCATGAAGTTGCAGAGTAGCGGTGAGGTTGGCTTCGTAGGTGAGGCCGACGTCGGGAGTGGAGATGAAATACTGCAGTGCTCGGCGTAGATCCAGTAGATTCTCCCCTTCAGGTCGCTTCAGATACTGTGCGAGCTGGCTAGCGACGTAGGAGAGATCGGGCCGGCACGTGACGGCGGCAAACAGGAGGCAGCCGAGCTGCTGCTGATAGAGACGATGGTCGTCAGGAGAGAGTGGCGTGGTGTCGGGCTCGTGGTTAGGAGGAGGAGTGCGGTAGGGGGTAGTGAGGTTGATGGGAGCGATGGCGAACCGCTTCGCGAGTGTTTCGGCGTATTTGGCGGCGGAGAGGTGAATGGAGGAGGCGGACTGGGTTACGTTGAGGCCGAGGAATTGGGTGACGTTGTGATTGACGGTGACTTCTAGCTTCTCCTGGATGTCGGCCTCGAATTGGTCGAGTAGCTCCGTGTCGTCCCCGGTGTAGAGAAGATCGTCGACGTAGGCGACGAGGAGGATGAACTTTCCGCGCGACTCCCGCCTGTACATTCCGAGATCGTGTGGCAGTTGAGTGAAGCCGAGCTCAAGGAGGACGGAATGCAGGTACTGCTGCCACAGACGAGGAGCTTGCTTGATTCCGTAGAGAGACTTTTGGAGGAGGCACACGGCGCCGTCGCTTTCTTCGAATGCGTGGGGTTGTTCGACGAAGATGATGGCATCAACGGGAGCGTACAGGAAGGCGCTTCCGACGTCGATTTGCCGGAGCGGTCGCTGTTTGACGGCGGCGATGCAGATGAGGATGCACACCGTGTGACGGCCGACTGGAGCGTAGGTGAGGGTGAAGTCCACCAGGTGAGTTTGCTCGAATCCCCGCACCACCC